CCTGCAGCGACACGCCGTCATGTGCTACCTGCCGGCTTCGTGCGGCCCTGACCTCCGTGACGCGCGCGCAGCGGGGCCACAGGCGGCTGCTGTCAGCGCGCATCTCTTCACTCAGACTCCGCCGCCTCCGTCCGCCCTCACGCGCTCAACTTTCTGCTTTTGTCTATTTCTTTTGGCTGATTAATATGTGAATGTGATTCTGAATAACCCCACTTTGAGTCCAGGACTCCTGGTCCGGGGGACTCCTGGTCTGAAGGCCTCTTCTTGTCTGCAGGAGCGCGCGGACGGACTCAGCGGCTCCTCCCCGGGGGGGCGCCTCTCCCAGCTGTCCTCCCTCAACCAGGCCGCCTACTCCGCGGCCCCGCCGCTCTGCCACACTCCGGCCTCCGACTTCCAGCCGCCGTACTTCCCCCCGCCGTACCCGCAGTCCTCCCTGCCCTACTCCCAGAGCCAGGACTCGGCCTACTCCCACCTGTCGGACCCCTACCCCTCCATCAACTCCATCCACCAGCACCAGCAGGCGGCATGGCACGCGCAGAGGTCGCGCTCCGAGGAGGGGGGGCTGCTGTCTCAGTCTCACCGGGCGCTGGGCCTGGACCCCCGCAGAGAATACCCCGCCGTGCCGCGGCTCCTGCACGGCCTCGGAGAGGGGGCGGCGGCTCTGGGGGACGGAGCTCTGGGGATGCACCTGGGCCACCACGGCCTGGAGGACCTTCAGGTGACTTTATTTGCCTTTTTGCCTCCTCTATTTCTATGTGTTAATTATCCATCATTAATCAGTTAATTATTTTCCTTAATCTAATTACATTTTTAACCTTTGAAATGATCACATTTGTGTTTTAATTATACAACAGAAAAATGCGCGTTAAAAACAGGCCCTGAAGGCAGGTTATGGACGGAACTAAAAGCAGTTTAATTTACAAAACTGAAAATATACTTAAACCTGAAGACAGCAGTATCTGTTTTTTTCTGACAATTTAAACACATTTAAATTCCTTTAATTGTTTATTCAGCTAATAATTAAAACAGTTAGAATAAAAATAAACCTGCAGGCCTTTTTTAAATTTGGGCCTAAAATCTTCCAAAATCCGAATGAAAAAAGGAAAACCATTAAAACCTTTATTCCCAATTGTAAAATACGAATGAGCTCCTAAATGTATTCCATAAAAGGAAATCCATTTTTTAATTTGTGAAATGTGGATTTGAAATATTTTCAGTTATCAAAATAAATGTCAATTTTCAGTTATCAAAATAAATTTCTAGATTTGACTTGAGCGTATAAAGTCTTTAACGGTTAACGGTAAAAACATGAACTCTTTTTCCCGGAGCTCCGTCCGGATGCCTCCGCGGCCTGAACTCCTCCTTTTCGGCGCAGAGGCTCCGCAGCAGGTGCAGCTGCAGACGCAGTTTGCGGCCGGATCAAAACGCACCGAGACGAATCGATGCGCACGGTCATCAGAGGAAGAAAACGCGCGCGTGTGTCTGTTAAACGCGCCCTGTCGACGCGCAGCTCCGTGTGATTAATGGGCAGAAAGTCAAAGGAGGAGGCGTCCGCGCGCACGCGACACTTTTGTCCCTAAAATCAGAAACAATTAATTCTTTAAAACTGCGAAAAAAACAACCAGAAACGTTGGAGTTTCACATCAGATTTCTCAGTAATTTCAGATCAAATTAAACGTGGAAGAAAATACTGATTTGATGTATTTAGGCCGAGACGTGCACATAAAGAGGTTCCGGTTCGGTCGAGTTGGGTCCAGTCCGGTTCTGGCTTTTTTTCAGTGAAACAGATTTTATATGTTGTGTTTGTGTGAGTTCACAGGAAAATAAATGTTGGTTTCATGGCCTCAGAGCGCGCGTGTGTTCGTGTGTGTGCGCGCGGATGAGCGATAGTGACCGTGTTTCTGTGTGTTTCAGGGAATGGAGGAAGGATCCGCCCTGGGCATCCTGGACCACTCTGTCATTAAAAAAGGTAAGAGCTGTGCGCGTGCGCGCGTGGCCACGGATAGAGAGGCTGTGGGGGACAGGCTGTGTGTGCGTGCGCGCGGGCTGTCTTATAATTGTGCTCCTCTGCTGAAGGGGTTTTGTGTTTCAGGGCACTGCAACACCAGTCACACGAGCACGCGCGCGTGCACGCACACTATAAATAATTCTGTTTTGCTATTTCATTTGAAGTCAAGAAGTCCTCTAATACTCAGCTGCAGACTTCAGCCCAAAGGCACACATTCTTAATGAACTGTTCATGGTCATATGAGTGTGTGCGTGCAGGAGCGTGCACGCCTGTGTGTGCGTTAGTGGGAAGTGGGGCAGAGCAGAAATGGGTGGGGGGCGATAAAAGAGGAGTTGTGGGGAAATTTGCAGGGAGTGATCAGACACCGGGGCCCGATTAGAAAATCCAAGCTGGTTTGTGGCTGCTGGCGCCCGCCGGGGTTGGGTGGGGCCATGGGGGGGGGGGGGGGGGGGCGCCACCGGGGGGGCCACGTGCACGCCTGAAAGCGTCCCGCCGCCGGGAAAAAGCACAGATCTGCAGAATGAGACGAAACCTGCACGTTGAGAGCTGAACTAAACAGAGTGTGTCAGAGCTTCTGATGAGGCGACAGTGGGAATCGATCCGTTCCAGCTGCGCCCCAAAAAGAGATGGGTGGG